AGAATTCAGCTCAGCTTCTTTATTAGCTTGCACCTAATAGACAGAATCTCACCAGACTAACCCTAATCCTCCAAGGATAGCAACTATAACCATCATGCCCTGGGGGGGCAGTCTCCTCCTCTTGACTTTCACACAGTCCATCTGGGGGCTGAGGAGGTGCTTCCCTTGGAATGTCTCTCCCCGCTCCCTGTAACCTTGAAACTCCATTCCAGAATCCTCCCCGCTCATGCCTTCCATCACATTTTTATTGGAAAAGATCTCTGATCCCTCTATGGAAGACTGATTATTTAAACTGAGGGAATATGCTTTGATGTCCAGAATAACTTCATATCTAAAAAGTACATCTGATGTACAATTCAATCTTATTTGGAAACCATTTCTGGAGTACAATTCTGTAAACGGATTGTGCCACATCCCACATTTGGGTTCTAGAGCTGGTATTCAATCTGACATATGGTTTACATATTATTTACAGTATTCTTTCAATGTATTGCTTTTTCTCTTATTGACTTCACTTGTGTTAAACAAATATTTTCACAATGCAGTAGAGACATGTTTTGACTAGAAATTGAATATGAAATGTCTCATAGTACTCTAAGTTAATAATATATTAGAATATATAAACAAATGATATTTTAGATCTCCTGGTTATTCAAGGTTTCTTGGTTATCCACCATGCATATTTTATTGCTTATATTGTTTTTTTTTTCATTATTACTATACTTTCTATATCCTTTTAAATGTGTCTTGTATCAGCATTATTTTCTTTTTTCTTGAAATCATAATCATAATACATAAGGGAGTAAATCTGGAAAAAAATGAAGATGCTTAATGATGTACTGTATGTGGCTAAGGATTTTTCAGCAACGCAGTAGGGCTGAGACGCTTCATTAGGCCAGGACTGGAGGGTAAGGGAATCCTACGAGTTGCAGGTCTCTCCAATCTGCACTTCAGCAGCAGCAGGGGCGCTGAATGGCACCCTACCCTGTCAGGTTTCTGTGGCCAAAAATCTGCATTCTCCTTCAAGCTGACCTCAACTCCTGATGGATGAGCATGGATATGCTCATATAGTTTTCTTGGAAACAGTATGGAAGTGAGTTGCCACTGCTTTCTTTTGGAATGTTTTCTTCAGCTGCCTAGGCTGGATTGCAGGCCTTGTATTTCCTGGAGACCACGCATCCAAGGCTCGGCCAGACCCAATCCTGCTTAGCTTCTGAGCCCAGATATGATCATCCAGGTGCTGATAAAGCTTGAGAAACCATAAGATAGTCTTAATTCTGGTTTTAAACTGACTGTTTAAAAAATGGATGAATCAATTTCTGCACATAGAAACTAGCATTTCAGGAAAGTGGATAGTTGAGAATCCCTTTCCTTGATAACACCACTACAGTTTCCCCAAAGGATAGCCATCAGTTTAACTTTCACCACCCCACAAGGTGATCTGTTACCCTACTGAACAGTTCTTACTATTAGACCTTTCTTCCTGAATCCAACAAAATCTGATATATAGAATTTTGTGGATAGGGAGTTTTGCTTTGGTGTTTTCTTTTCTTTTTGCATGCTGTTCAGTTAGTTAGTCATAATTGAAGCCATATGAAGGTAGGTTTACTGGTTCAGAGAAAAATAGGCATTGATTTTATCTGTTTTACTGTGTGCCCAGTTGCACTCTCCTTTGCTTTAGTGTGGATATATATAATTTTACTGAAATGTAACTGTTAGTATCTCTCTCTCTCTCTGTCAGTCAGTCTTAAAGGACAAGTATATGATCTCCTGTGGTGCAATGGGTAGCAAATCAGAATATGAATAGTTGAAGACAGTTTCAGTGTTAATATATATAATCAGATAATTCTTATTTGCATGATGCTCTGAAAGTGTAGCTTCACAATGGCTACTTATATATGTTGTTTGGAGAAATGACAGTATGAGGATATTAGCTTTACTAGATTATCTGCATCTCAAAATTGTATTGGATGTGAAATGATCTTCAATGAAACAAATATTAATTATACTTTGTTATGGGATCCTTCTATCTGGTGACAGATCGGGAACAGTAACAGACTGATAGATGCAAAACCTGACTTATAACAAAGGAAAATGAGCAACAGAAGTATTTTCAAATATATTATATTAACTGGTGTGAATATTTAATTGGTGTGAATATTACATTCAACTGAGCCTGATTCCTGAGGACCTCACGGACATATCCATGTAGTTTTCCTGGAGAGTGAATTGTCTGATATTAGGAAAATTTCCGTGATAGAAGTATTTCCTCAAAATGTTTTAAAATCAATTTCCTATATGCAATTATTCGTTTTGTTCCAGACTTTTCTACAATTACTGACCCTTTGTTTATTGTAGATATAACCTCAGCACTTTGAATATCTGCATTTTCCTCACACAGGCCATCTAAGTGAATGCAGATGTGGCTTGATCAGTCCCTGCTGCCTTCTGCTATTAATATGAGGCAGGAATGGCAAAGAGCTCAGGGGAGGAAATCAGAAGTTTACATTTAGAGAAAAGAGAGATGGCTGAATGCACAAGCTTCTACTTTACCAATTATAGCTCTCATGCTATAATTTGATATTGCTCTCATGCTCACAAGAACTAGCTAGGAGGGAGGAGGGAGAGAAGACAAAATCTTGAGTTGATCCCCTCCCACCGGCATAGCTCTGCCCACAGAGAATAGGTACAAGCATTCAAATGTGCAGTATAACACTTTACCTTCCCAATGATGCTTCCAACTTCCTATTGGAAAGAAAATGGCAACAAAGTAAGAATGTAAAAGCTTTAATTATCAGTAAATGTTATTTAGTCTACCCATGGTAGGCTTGGCTTTATTAATTTGCAATCACAATCACATGCTATCAGTGGAAAATAAACAATTTCTTTATTAGCAAGAATATAAAGCAATGAAGAAAAGAGTCAGATTGGTGGAGTTCCAAAGATTTTAGGGTGCCCAGTGTTCCCCTGCCTCTCTTAGACAGCTAGTTCTTACTGTTGTAGCTGGCAGAAAAAATTCCAGCATATTAGCCATATTTCAAATTAAATGAAAAGTTATTATTGTATATTAATGTTGGCTAGGTAGAACCTAAAGTGAAAACTGTATTGGATGTTAAGAGAGAACCTCTGCCAGCCTTTGATATCAATCCGCAAAGCTAGATGTTTGTTGCTTACATCGGTAGAGATGTTTTTCTTTTGTGAGGTATCCCCTCCCCACCTGTACTATAACAAGGGTTACATATTTGTACCTTGTTAATAGATAAGGAAAAGAAGAATTCTACCGTGTAGCTTTTTCACCTGTGTTCAAGGCCAAACAAATGTGTTAAAAAATTGACCAGCCATGCCAAAAATAACAAACCTAATTTGCTGTTCAGAATTTATCAATCTGGGTTCACTCCTTTGCTCATATTTAAAGTAAGGTATGATGCATGAACAGGTCTGCTGTAAACAGGAGTGTTAATGAACCACTATATCGTAATTTGGCAATCTGATGTTTATGGACACTTGCTCTACTTCCAACTTTTGTCATTCAACTTTTTGAAAGCTTCTTTTAAGGGAAGCTAATGTTGTGAAGCAAAACGCTAACTTCTAGCATCTTTTTAATTCCCTCTGGACTTCCTATTTAATACAAAGGGATGGAGAGCATCTTGGTGAGAGATCAGAAGGACTTACACTGCTCACTGCTCTCCTCCTACACAATTTTGGCGAGAGAGGGAGTGCCAGGGAGCAGTCTTCACAATATGAGAAATGCCCACTAAATTTGCCTGCAACTGCTACTGAAAGAGATACAGTGGTACCTTGGGTCACGAACGCTTCTGTTCACGACCAATTTGGGCCACGAACAGCACCGTTTGCAAAATTTTGCTTCGGTCCGCGAACTCCGCATCGGGTGATGAACAGGATCCGCGGCCATTTTCCCTGCCGTGACACGTGATCGTGGCTTCCTGTAGGGAGGGGTACTCTCCCTCCAAGCAGTAACCGCCTCCCCACCCGCCTTCCTGTCCTCCACGCCAGAAGTCGCCTCGAGC